GTCTGGGTCAGGCTTATCAGGAGGCTAGCACAGTGCCCTGCAGCAAGCAGTGCTGTGGACTTGCTGTCACTGTTCTCGTGGCAGTGCTTGGAAGCCTGAGTCAGGGAGGCAGGCACACTGTGCTCTTGGAGAGGCTAAGTGGCACCAGGTCTTTTCCCAGGCTAGTCATCAAGAAAGGGCAAAAGTCCAGGCAGCTGGAGCCAGTGGCCAGTGTTCCTAGGACTCAGAGCTGTGCTAGTATTTGTCAACACTGTACACACTAATCAGAATTACGAAAAAATCATTAGATACAGTAGGGTCCCAACTATCAATTTAATATATATCCCCCATTGGAAAAAACATACTCACATTTCCAAAATTCGAGGCTGTAGAATAAAATTTTAAAGACAAGGGTGCCATATTTAGCAGTGAGAAATGTCAGTACTAAATTTGTTCACATTTTAGGTGATTGGAAGTGGTATGCTGTGAGGCTATCTGGTGGGGTGTGTTAATGCTCCTGTGTTTTAGAAGGCATGTTAGGGATTTTGTTGTTCAGGTAGAGTGAGTGCTAGATTCCCTAGATCCCCCCCTGGGCTTTTCCACTCCCAAAAGACCAGAGAGCAGACATTGTAGTGACTCTGGAGTTTATTTCTCTTGAAGCACCCTACTGATTCTTTTTTTTTTTTTTTAATCAAAATGCTGGGAGTCTACAAGTTTGGAAGATATTCTTTTCTTGATACATCACATTCTTTGGAAGAGTAGAAAAAAATTTGAGAGAAAGAGGGACCAAGTGGGGCCCAGAAAGTGGGTTACCCACCAACCCCATTTTTCAGAGGTGTTTTATTAAGCAAAGCCATGAAGTGAGGCGGGCTTAAGGTGGGACTGAACTATAACCAAGAAAATAAATCATTAGGTGGATGCATGTTGGGATAAAACTATGGTAACATCATAAAAATTTTAATTGTCAGAAGCAAGTCATGTTCTGGGATTTATGAAACGAAAGCAAACTCTAACCTCCAACTAGTTATCTCGGTAGAAGACCTGCACATGATATGGAGGAAGACCACTCCTAGCCTGCTGGATGTCCGAGATGTTGATCTCTTGTTCTTTAAAATCAGAGAATCAATTCTAGGGACAGTGGAGGTAAAGAGCGGGAAGAATTTAATGAGAAAAGGAAAGCTTCCATTTTAGGTAGACAGGAGGGGTCCCGGAAAGTGGGCTGCTCCGACATGTAACATTTTTGAAGACTACAAAAATTTTATTGTTACAAGAAAAAAAATTAACCTTGTTAGCCTAGAGCTTGCTTTTTGCCTGTTAATTTAGCTCCTTGGAAAGTCGCTGAAAAGTGTTTCCCTTCGCATACTAAAATGACAGAAGTCATCATTCTTAGTGGTGGTATGATACACACTTCAGTTCTTCAGGGTGTATGTGGTACCAGTTACAAGACTCTTGGTTTTCTATTGATTTGAAAATTATTTTTAAAGTAACAGCCACATGGTACCAGTTGGTTTGACTCTTTCCTTTCTTTACATACATATATAATGGCCCTCATTATTTCTTAAGATTACGATGGATTCTGACCCAAACTTTGATAAGTAATTTATATAAGCCTTTATTTCCTAGTGACTGGCATATTTGTAACTTGGCTAATTGTTGTGCTGGGAATTTGCACATCCACTGAGTGATCACAATAAGCTATGGCACTTTGGGTGGCGTAGTCAGTCCTGGTGAGGATGGACATAGCTGCTGAGAGTTGCAGGGATAGGGCACTCTGTTCAACTGGTCAGAGTAGCCTCTACGTATGGTATGTGCTGCAGTTCGTCCTTTAAGTGGGGAGCATTGGTTTTTATTTTTGAAAGTGCTAACTAACATGTTGATGGTGACCTCTGACTTAGGAGTCAGCTTAGGATGTGTTTTCTGCCAGATTCTGTGGGAGCTTCAGAAGCAGCCTAGTGCTAGAGGTGCATGAACAGATCAACACAGACATGCTGGCGGGTTGCAGTGGTTCTTCTTAGAGACTCACAAATAAGCATCAGAGTAACTGCCGAAATGTTTAATAGCATCGTTACTGTCTGGCTAGCCCACTTCTAGTTTCAGTTATGTTTTTACGTATTTGGCTACTGGACCAGAAAGGGAGGAAAAATAACCCAAACATGACTTGAATTTTCTTCCACTTGCTATGATCTTGCTGTTTTCTTTACTCACAGAACGTTCCTGAGCCTGTGGCAGCCACCGAGACCCTGGCTGAGGTGCCTGAACATGTGCTGCGAGGACTTCCAGAAGAAGTGAGGCTTTTCCCGTCTGCCGTTGACAAGAGCCGAATCGGTACGTACTTTGGTCACGGAGAGATGGGCAATAAAGAAGGCACGCGGCGTCTTGTGGGGGCTGGTAAGGCAGGCAGCAGTGCCATAGAAGGGACGGGCTTGTCCTTGACTCAAGATTATATGGTGGCCGAGTATTTTCCCATCAGGAGTCCAGGGTGGTCTTAACATCATACAAATAAAACTAGGAGCACATCGCACCAGCAGTGGTTTCTCCCTCAAATGTCCTGTGTCTCACTGGGCTTCTTCCCAGTGAATGTGTTGTTTCCGCCTCTCTGATTCCACCATGGCTAGAGTATGACTGTGTTATGATATTGTTTCATTTTGTAATTGTCCTACATCTGCCCATCATCGGTCATGCATGCCCTCACTTCTCATTTGTCTTTATGTCTCCAGCCAGGCACTCCTGGTAGACACTTGAATGATTGACCTGAGCTGAACGTGTCCAGATGCTTTGGCTGGGAGTTCTTGTTGAATGCAAACCACATTTGTGTACAGTGCTCATGGTTTCGTGGTCTAGCCTTTACGTGGAAGGCTAATGAAGTAAATTATAGAGCATAGTCCAAGTACAGTCTTTAGTACCTCGTATTTAAATTGTTTCTGATGTACTTCTGATATTCCAGTTGATATGCATATAAGTACAAATGAATTTTTAATAGACGTTTTTCTTAGTTCTCATTGAACATTCAGTGAGCAACTGAAGTACTTGTTTTTTATTGTATAAATGAAAATGGTTGATTTTGTAGCTTAGCTGATTGTGGTATTATCAAATGTGGTTCATAGCAGACTTCCAGAAAAGTGAACTTCATACGTTCCAGCTGGACAGGACAAGACCTAGCTTCCCCCCTTCTGTCCATGAGGGAACTGAGGCAAAAGATGAAGGACACTGTCTCCTTTGATTCTTCTGAGTGGGGCTCCTGCCATTTCACGAGCTGCTGCTTTTTTGTATCCATTTGTGTTCAATGTACAGGAAATAGAAGCAATCCTAATGCCATCGTGGATGAGCATTATGTTGACTCCTTAAAACGGAAAAGTAAATTGTCCTAGAAACTGATTTCAGGAAGCCTAGGCAGAAGTTGGTTTTCCACTTTATTTAAGCAAATGAACTTGTGCAGCATTTGTTCAGCTGGGTGTGGTAGTGCTTGCCCATAATCCCAGAATGGAGGCCGAGGCAGGGGGATTGCCATGAGTTTGAGGCCAGTGTGCATACATAGCAGAGACCTGTCTGAAAAAAACCCAGGTGTGGTGACACACACCTGTAGTCCCAGCATGTGGGAGACTGAGGCAGGGAGGTCAAGGCCAGCCTGGGCTAACTAGTGAGCTCCAGGCCAACCTGAACTACAGAGGGAGACCCTGTCTCAAAAAGGCAACATAAAAGCAAAGCAACAACAACAAAAACCTCAACAAAACAAAACGTTTGTTCTTAAAACCACATTACTAGTCTTTATAAAAACAGTTCATGTTTAGTGAGGACTGTTTAAAATCTATAGAGAAGCAGAATTAAGAGTTTAAGTTGTAGATTGACTACATTTAAATATTTTTTTCTTAGTAACTATGTTATTCTTTAAGTATTTGTGACTGTACTGTATGCACAATTTTACATGTAAGAATTAAATATAACCCTTTTTATTTTCTAGAAAATGATACAGGTTCATTACAGACTATTTAGAAAATACCCAAAATTATAAAGAAAGAAAATAAAAATTGCCGTGGAGGCTTTGATTTAATTTGCTTAAACTTGATCTCAGTGGACTTAATACTATCTTGCTTTTAGGCACTATATATGGTTTTTTATCAACTTTGTGAAACTGAATTGACTTTAATACTTTGAATCTTTACAACAGTGCCTTATTAAAAAACTGATTTTATTTTCTAGGTGTCTGGGCCACTAAACCGATTTTAAAAGGCAAAAAATTTGGGCCGTTCGTTGGTGATAAGAAAAAAAGATCTCAGGTTAAGAATAATGTATACATGTGGGAGGTAAGACGGAATTCTGATTCTTTGTCAGAGTTCTGTACGTTTTGACATAATCACTATCCTTTTTTCCCTCAAGATTTGACACTTTAGAGTGAAAACAATCATTTTAATATTCTTTAAAATCAAGGCTGTTTTCATTAAAGAGCAAATGTGTTTCCTTAAATACAGACTATTTATATATGCTTTTGTGTTTTGAACCTGCCCTCTGTCCTCAACAATAAATTTCAAATCTGTTTGTATGTTACTTTGCCGGGGTTGCTTTGCTTTGCCACTAAGACCTTCACTTCCTGTGTGATGGTCTGTCACTTCACAGGTGACACCACATAGGCCCCATGGAAGATGCTAAGCAGCTATAAAGACAGCACTTTTAGGTTCTTCTCTTAGAAAGGAATTCTGTATTTCTGGGTTGTTTGGAGTGTGATATTTTTAGTAGGTCATGCTTACATAAAGCTTTGAGTTTTTTGCACGTTTTCCATTCTGTTAATTTCGTGTTTTCACCACAGTCCAGGAAGACAAGATGCAGCAGGGTGGTAGCACACTCCTTAGAGAAGCAGCAGCCAGGAGACGAGAGTGTTTGGGACTGTAGGGACCGCGCTTGAGTGGTCAGATGTAGAGTCAGAGGGTGTATCTCCTGCTAAGCGCCGGGGCAGTCAAATGTTTTCATGCTGCACCTGGGTTCAGATTGTGCTTTGAGCTTCATGGCTTTAGCAGGGTTCTTAATCTCTGGGCTATAAATTCCTCAGTTTTAAAAAAATGGGGACACTTAATAATAACCATAATTAGGATGATTGCAAAGATAAAATTCGCTGATGTTGTCCCCTGGATATTGCATGGAAATTCTGCATTTATGTTGAGTTTAGTTCAGTCTAGTCCCTGGGGAAGCTCCTCGCAGTCTTAGAGGGACCTGTAATGTGACTTCTTTTGAAGCAAGTTGAGTTTTTCAGTGATCAGGAAGGCGTTCCTAGTGATTCAGTTCACAGGCTGCATCTCACAGGTTAACATGTAAAAGCCTGAAAGTACAGTGAGGCTAAGAACTGTAGAGGTGCTTCTGGTGAAGAAGCTCTGGGCACTGGAAGGCTTGAAGTGGGGTTGTGTTTCTCAAAATAGCACTGTCCTTAAATTGATCCAACCACTTCTCCCAGTCTGAATGTGTTTCTGCTAAATCTAGTATCATTCTGATAATTAACGCAGGGGCCTTTAGGAAAGAAGGATTTACCACGCATGAGAATCATAACACTGTGTCATTGCACTGCTGTGAAGCAGAAAAGAAACTGTAGGAAAACTTGGTGACTCAACTTTTGCTTTGGTACTAAAGAAAATCCCTGTATCATTAAAAATGTCTTGGTCACAGAATTATGGTCCAAAGGCATTGCATTTTAAATGTTAAGCTTCCCAAGCGAATCTAACAAAGGTGCTGTACGAGCTTAGCACTCGTCATAGTGAAAATGTTTCTTTCCTAGTTCTGTACTTGTAATGCTAAGCTTAAGCAGATGCCATTAATATTAAACATAAGCTAATGGCTGCTGTTCTGCCCAGTGCTACAGTGTGATGTTGTTGGGCATATTAATATTCCTGCTGTGGGTGAATTAATTAAGCAGCATTTGCACTGAAATTCATACGTAGTATGACTTGGTGATAATAGTTTCTTAGGGACTCGATTTCTACTCTGGACTTGTTGGCATCCCATGATTAATTGAAGGTACTGCTCTAGTTTGTAAATCCTCATGAGGGTACCAGTTCTTTTTAGTCCAGTTTAAGGATTTAGTTTTTGTCAAGGCTGGCTTTTCCTTCTAGCAATTAAAAAAGTCCTGATAGTATTTATAGTTTCCATAAGAAGGCATGTATTTTACGTGGATGCCTTAAGCCTTTGATTATTTTAAGCTCTGTGAAATGTCGATCCGTGTGACATCTACATGTAAGCATATACAAAGAATAGGTATAAATTCTATTGTACATATTGCAAAGAGGTTGAAAATCAAGGTACAATTTTCCCCTTGATTTATCCCAGTCCTGATTTTATTGCCCAGCTTGCATCAGAACGCTTGTTGCCTTAACATGCAGGGCTTATAACCAGAATCTCATCTTGGCATTTGGTCCTCCATCAAAGCCCTTTAACACTGGCTTATCATTTAGCAGCATGGACTTACTCCCCAGCTAGCACTCCATTTTAAAGCTAATCATAAGACAAAGTGTTGCATTGCTTCTGTTGAGCCCTTGATTGTCTAACCCAGCCTCAGGTGTTCTAAGCTCTCACTGAAAACGTTCTAGTAAGTCAGAAAGAATGGGAAAGAAATAGTGGAGTGTCTTCAGGGCAAATGCACAAAGTAGTGAGGTTCTTACAAGAGGAGAGCACGTCCTTTGATCTGCTTTTGGTGAGGCACTGCTGGCGAACGTAACACTTCTTTCCACCACCCCAGTTGGCCCAACTAGTCTGCAGTATTTTGAAACCTTCTCTGATAAAAGCCTTTTCAATATTTCCATCTGTTGCCTCCAATTTCTTGTTATCAGCAGAACTTTTAAAGTGTTCAAATAAGAAATTTTTTAGTGTCTGTTTTTTCCTAATAGACTTTTATTATCTGAACAGTTTTAGATTCACAGAAACTGGACCTGAAAGTCCAGGTAGTTTCTGACCCAGTTGGTGTTGTACTGCTATGCTAAAGCACAAAAGACTGTGTAGCTTTTTTGGTTTTCTTTTAGTGTATTTGGTACAGGGTCTCACTATGCAGCTTGGACTCGTAGTGACCCTCCTGTTTTCAGCCTTCCCAGGGCTGGGATTTTAGGCATACGCAACCACACCTTGACCTGGGGGTGGGGCTGGTGCTGCCTGTGATGTGGGGGATCGAACCCGGTTCTTGTGCTTGCCTAAGCAGGTGCTTAGTCTGCTGAGCTATCTCGCCGGGCCTGTAGTTCTGCGACTTATATGAGGTGTGATCCAAACATGGCAAAGGTTTAAGTTTGGGTGTCTTTAGTTGCACTGCTGTGGCTGCCTCATGTCCTGAATCAGTGCTAGTGCTTACCTTTTATAGTCGTTTTGACTTTGAGGAACAGCCAGAAGTTGCACGAGGCCAGATCCGCTCAATAAGGCGGGTGGAGACTTACTGTAATATTCTTACAAACCTGCCTTTCCATGCATGGCCCTTGGCAGCAGCATTCACTGTATTTTCTATCACACCTTGTTAAAACTGTCGTGAAATCAGAGCTGCTTCAGAAGGTGGCAAGAATCATAGGATAAGCGTGTTTGAAGCAAGGGCGAATATTTGAGGGGGGTTAATGCCAATGTGTCTTTTGCTATAATACATTTTTTAAAAATTTAAAACTTTATTGCGTATTTTGATCATACCTCATAAAGGTCTGTTTGGTGGACAGTTATGAAGCTGAGAGGTGCCGGACCAAGGAGTGACATCTGGTGAGGGGCTTTTTGCTGCGTCGCAGCATGGCAGAGGCATCACAGCGGGGAGAGAACAGGAGACGGAGCTCTGCTCCTCAAGCCTTTTGTAATCCACATTCATCATTCATCAGGGTGCAACCCCGAACACCAAGGCACCTTCTCGGCCCACCTCTCACCACTACTGTGTTGGGGTATAATTTCCCACTCTTGCATCTTGGGAAACACGTTCAAGCCATAACTGTTCACCTGTGTGCCGCTAGCCCTACACACGCACACACGCATGCACACATGCATACACACACACATGCATGGCCATTCCTGCACATCACCTAGCCCCAGAGTGGGGCATGTGTTGCGGTTGTTGAACCTGCATCGACAGGTTAATGTCGCTCTAAGAGTTCACTGAAGAACTCTGTTAGGGCTCATTCTTGGCATTCTGCATTCTATCTAGTCTTTTCTAAAATGTAAACATGTACATGCTCATTACAAAATGATATAAACAATCTGTTATAGTTCATGTCTAGTTGTCCCCCCAAGCCCTCATGCAGTCATTGGGGCGGGCTTTAGAGTTTGTTATTAATTCATAATCCAACGCTGAGATTATACGTGTGAGTGCTACAGACATGGATAAGCGGGATGCAACGTAGGGGTGGAGAGAGGCTTGCTCTCTGCTGTTGCTCCTCCCTTTTTGCTGTTGCTCTTTGCTGTTTTCGGCCACCATAAACGGCTACCCTCTGCCATGTGCTACTCTGCCTTGAAGTCAGCAGAGTATGGACGGAAACCTACACAAACTCTGAGCTAAATAAACATTTCCTTCCTTAATTCTGAGTGTCAGGTATTTTGTCCCAGCAATGAGAGAAAACTAACTGAGACACAATCCAAAAAATATGAACAAGAAGGTAAAAACCATTTAAACTCCTCGCACCCAAGTGTGACCATTGTAAATGTTCTTTTGCTTTGCTTGTATACCTCTGCTTTTCTTAACTCTCACACATACTGGTACCCGTACCAATACTGTATTTAGAAATTGCACTTGAGATTGAATAGTACTTGTAGTTTTGGAATATACTTTTTCCTTTCAATATATTGTGGATGTATCCATGACAACTACTTAATTTGCATTGTTATTTATTATAGCTGCCCAGAATTTCACTGTATACAATTTATGATTTGCTTACTCAGGGCCTTTGTGGGACACTTACATAGTTTTAACATTTTTATGATTATAAACAGTTCTTCAAAGTATAGATCCTACTGTCTATCCATATGTACTGACTGGTCTGATTATCTCCTTCAGATAAATTTCTGGAAGTATAAATGTTACATAAAAAAGTTGTGTACACTTTAACCTTTGACAAATTTTGCCAAACAGCTCTCCAGAAGGATCATACTAACTCATATAACCACCAAGAGTATCTGTTCCTTCCCAGCTTTTAAGAACCAGTATTTTACCTGTTTAAAAATTCCCTCTTTTTTGATGAAAACGGACTATTCACTCTTATTTCATTCAGACAACAGGTTCTAGTCAGGAGAGAAGTAGACTTACCAAATTAAGTGATAGACAAGTAGTCTGTGCATCATGGGAAGACTTTAATTTTTGAAAGATGTAAAAACT